AGAGAGAGAGAGAGAGAGAGAGAGAGAGAGAGAGGGAAAGAGAGTTCATGTCCATGGACACATTGTTAGTGTGGCTGAATTGTGCATCCTTGCATGAGAATCACTGAACACGAATATAAAGGAAACATTTCTGTGCTGATGCTGAATCTTTGAATGTTGACGATTTGAAATATCCACTAATAATGTCCCTCGTGAATCAGTAAAGTTCATCTCATCTTAACATTAAGCCAAATACTGACACAAACATTCACATTGACCCCCTGACCATAACATTAACTGCACCAACACAGACAACTACATTTTAGTAGAGGTTTTACTGCCCTCGTAACTGCACATGGTCATATGAGCGCCACAACTACATTGACAAAGTCAACAACAACCACAAACAATTTGCAAAAACTGCAACACGCCGGCAGTATTGCACACAGACGTATCTCAAAGGCCGCCAAAAATGACTTATGTCTGTATGCAATACTGCCCACGAACAGTCAACATCCTTAATTGTTTATACCTGTGTTTTGCTGTTGTTGTTGCTGCTGCTGCTGCTGTTGTTGCTGCTGCTGCTGCTGTTGTTGCTGCTGTTGCTGTTGTTGTTGTGCGGCCATGCCCGTGGCTTTGATCTGGTCGGCTGGCATCATGGTGGAGATGGAGGAGAAGGAGGACATGGAGGAGGTGGTGAAGGCCGGGGAGGGCGCAGAGCCGTTGCTGCAGTTGCCCGCAGACTCGTTGGAGAAGTAGCCCTGGTCCAGTGGGGAGTCTACCGGGGTCCGAACCGGGGCCTGGTGGGGTCCGGGGGCCATAGGGGGCCCCATGGTGTGGTGGCCGTGGGGGTAGTGGTGGTGAGGGGGGTGATGAGGGTGGTGGCCACCGTGTGGGTGTTGGAAGGGTGCACCGGGGTACATGCCTTTGTTGAAGAATCCACCTGGGCCTGGTTTGGACGGAGCTCCCATCCACCTGGATAGACACAGAGAGATATATGTTGGTGTGAGTGCATGTTGTACGGTGCTTTCAACATACAGAGAGATGTTGGTTTGAATGCATGTTTTGTGGTACTATTTACACACATGGAGATGTTTCTGTGAGCACATTTTTTACAGTCCTATCAACATACAGAGAGATAATAGTGTGCGCACATGTTTTACGGTACTATAAGATTAAATGACCATTATGTCGATGAGTATCTTTTTAGATTTACAAACTGGGACTCAAAATGTTAGGATTTAGAAAAGTGAAAACAAAAACACTGTGGGGTCAACTCAGGAGTTCAGATTTCACTATCAAGACAGCAGAATACCATTGGATTACAAATATTATTGTTAACATTAATTGTTTATTTATTATTACATGTGCGTGACTGTGGGACTGTTTGCAAGTGTAAGCTTAAATTATGTGTGTATTTATATATGTGAGTAGAAGAAAAGAAATGTGTGTCTGTAGGAGTGTGTGTACTCATGTGTGTATTTCTGTATGTTTTTGTGGGTGCACGTGTGTGTGCACGTATGTGAGATGTGTGTGCATGTACCTGTGATGTGTGCGTATGTGTGGTGAAACACCAAACCAATATATATCAGTGTCTGAATAATAAAGTATACCTTATCTTATCTTATCACTGACTAACCTTTGATGCTGGCTGTGATGTTGTTGCTGTTGTTGCTGTTGCATAGACTTGACGTTAACATTGGGTGGCGGCGGCTGTTTCCCTACACGCTGAAACACGCCTCCGTCCCGACTGCCCACTGCGTTGTAGTGACCCTGCTGGCCTTGACCCTGGGAGGGTGAGCCCGGCTTGACGAAATCACAGGAGCTGGTGGGCATGACAGGCTTTGGGGAGACGCAGGGCACCTTCCCCCCACCCTTTCCCCCACTACTGCGGACACTGTTGTTGTTGTTGTTGTTGCTGCTTCCAGCACCGTTGTTCCCGTCCTCCTGGTCACTGGCGTCGCTGACCTGGCAGGCGCTGGGTGGGTTGGTGGAGAACTCCTGGGGTCGCGGGAGTCCGGCCGCGTGGGTGGTGGAGGAGGAGGTCGATCCCTGGCTGCTGCTGGAGTGTGTGGAGTGGACGGGGGAGGAGGCTGGGGCGCCTTGAGGGTACGAGTGGCTCCGTTTCGCCATGGGCGGGCCGCTGGCCGGCATCTTGAACAAGCTCTGGTTCCCCGACATCCCACCACTGTGGGTCGGGACGCTGCTTGGACCCATCATGCTGTTCCCAGGTCCCATACCCATACCTGTAGGGGTAACAACACTAGGCCCATTCTGCTGGTAGTGCTGCTGGTTAAATCCTGGAGGTGTCTGACACCGTCCTTTGTTCGGGCTGGTATCCGTGGAAACGGAGAGGTGGATGCGTTTGTTGGCTGGGCTGGTGTTCTCTGAGGAGATGACCGTGGTGGTGCCCGATGACTGACCCGATGACGACTGGATCAGCGGGCTCGGCAGCTGTGACAACCAATCAGAATCGTTGAAGTTGGGCTTAAACAAGAAATTAGGTGTGGAGGTGGTGGACGGAGGATTCAGGAGCGTCAGGGTCTTGTTGCTGTCATGGTGGTGGTTGTTATTGTTGTTATTGTTGTTGTTATTGCTGTTGCTGGTGTGACTGCCGGTGGCGCTGCCGCTGTTGGACCCACCACTGGCACTGCCGGTCGGAGTGGATATCGTGGAACCCGCCGCACTAAAAGGAGAGATCATAAAAACATAGACAAACTCTACATTAGGCTAAAACATACAGTTTAATGCACGAGGGTACAATCGTAATCGATACTGAATCATCGACACTTTTCAGTCACAACAGTCATTATTTCCTATTTCAGTTTTCTTTTTTTAATGATTCAACAATATCAAAACTATTTATTAAATGGTTCAACAATATCAAAATTAATATTTATTCCATCCCACAATTGAACTACTCACTTAGCATTCAATGAGGCCAATCCTACTTTTAGTGAATACCATTGCTCAATTTTTTAGCTTTCTGATGTTTAGTGGGAGCCCGGCTTATGAACGTATGCATGAGTGTGTGTGTACGCGAGTGAATGAGCAAATGAGTGACTGCTTTTGTGAGCATAATTACGTAAAAATGAGGGTGACCTTACAAAAGTATAAATGTATGTACATAAGTGTCAGTGTGGGCTTATGTTTTGGTGCGCATGTGCGTACTCACACTTGTATGTGAGAATGTGCTTGCATGAGTACATGTATGTACGTGTATGCATAATTTGGAGAGCCAGTGTCAGTGAGCATGTGCTTGTGAAAGTGTATGTATGTATGTATGTAAATGCATATGTGTGTTAGGAGGAACAGTGTAAGTGATTGTATGCTTGTGTGAGTATAAATGTACAAGGGTGCACGTGTGTTTGAAGGCGTAGTGCCCTATTCAAGCCCCAACTGCTTACAAAATACACGCCCTGTGTGTGTCTCTCTCACCTGTTGAGTGCCTCCTGCGTCATGTAAGCCTGAGGGTTGGTATCCTGCTCCATGAGGAACTCGACAAAGTCCAGCTCCATGCCCTCCTTCATGCCGATGTCCTCACAGATCTCGTCCAGCAGCTCATTGGGCAGTCGCTGGTCATCCATGGGGGCGGGGGCGCCGGGGGAGGAAGGGGAGGGCGGGGAGTTTAGTCGGTCACCGTCCAACGCAGAGGCAGAGGTGGCCACACTGCAAGCCGAAGGGCTTGAGGTCGAATCTCGGTACTCCATCAGCTGAAGAAAAAATTAGCAGCATGATACATTAAGGAATTTTTCATTTCCTTTTTATTTTATCAAATTTAATATTGCTATTGCATGAAAAATTATAAATTCTAGGTTTAGATTACTTATAATGTAAAGGAGGGTGCGACACATTTATTTGTTTTTCTTGACATGCCATGGGAAGCCCCAAAGTATAGATAATATGTTTAGTTTTAGTCTTAATAAGAGTTGTATGACACTTACAACACAAATAGGTCATTAAGTGCCAAAGACTTGTGGTACTACAAGAAAGTAACATACAAAAGAAAGAAGGAAAAGAAATCAGATGACAAAACGGCAACCACCCACTAACCATGTTGAATAAAGGAACAACAAAAAAGAAATAAATGAAACAAGCCAAACAAGACCACTGCTCATTCACGACATGTAACATCAGCGATGTTCTCCACATCACCCAGAGAATAAGAGATTTTTTAAAACAAAAAAGACAGTATACAAGGACATGTTACAGCTTTTCTTTTTTCTCTCTCTTTCTCTCTCTCTCTCTCTCTCTCTCTCTCTCTCTCTCTCTCTCTCTCTCTCT